CAACTTTGCCACCGAGTAAGAGTTCAACTGTGCTACTAGTATCTGTGTCTTCATACTGGCCCTCCGAGTGGTCAACAGAACCAGTTAATGAAAGCTTAAACACGTCAGTTGTGTTTCATCATCAACCTGTGCTTATTACTAGTCCAGTTTTATTGACACATTTTTGCTTTATTATATTTTTTCTAGTATTACGAATGCAATAATCTTCTCTCTGTCTTATTGCAGTAGTTCTTTCATACAACAAATAACTCACACGGTTTCATCACTAAAATAGAAGAATGTCATGCAACTTAGATTAATAACAACGTAGTCACCTGTTGTAGCATCATATTTTCACCATAAGGATCATATTTAAACATAAGCTATACAGTAGATCAAGAAAAACACATATTCACTTCTTATACAATTTTGATTTGGGTAACTTGGTAGGGTCGTCACCTGCACCCATTAGAAGACAGTGCTTGTGTGTGTGAAGGTAGATAAGAGGCGAAATATAACCAGCTCTACAACAAAAATAAATTGAGAGTTGGAACCGGGTCTGTGGTCACTTTCATAAGCAAGTAAAAATAATTTATTATGATCTGTCCGTCATGATGAAATATGAAACACTTGACACCGACGAGAAACAATCCCCTTTCATTCCGAGAAAAAGGCTCATTTAATATTACTTTTGTGTATGATAGAACCATTTCTGTTTGTACACAATGTCCCAAAGGAAAGCGGAAGATGATCGTGTAGAAACATTGTCCAGAGCCTGAGTAACAAGTAAGGCGCTACAGGTGGATGAGGCGACCCTGCACAAGCTCGGCCAGGTAATAATGACGAACCTGCATTAGGCAAAGCATCAATAGTTATCACACCCGGGGACAAAACACCCAGCCATGGCGTAATGTGAAGTTTGTTGAGTCAGGGCTGGATGTGAATTGACCTGAGCTGAGTTGGTAATGGTCGTACAGTGTGAGAGGTATAACGTCGACACTAAAACACCTGACTTAAACCCGTCGGAACCTTTAATATTCTTTATCACATTGCTACTTTGACTCTTCTCACTTGTACTAAAAAGGATGATAAATGACTGGCGGTCTTCCTCGATTCGCATCACATAAAATAAAAACAACTGTTGACATATTATGATCTTGGAGAGAGACGGCGGTGATACGTAATTGCACATTGGAGGTGTCATCCGTATAGTGTTTACAATGACTGGGGCAATCAAAAGTCCTTCAAAAGACAGTAAATCCAGTTGACAATTTACCATCTGCATATTTCAGTAGTTACATGTACAGACAGCTAACTCCCAAATCATCGAAGAGCAAGAAATGTCTAAATCCACAAACACAGAAGAGCGAGTGAGCTATAAAGTTCCCAGTTCATCAGCGGGTCAAGTGGTATTCAAATCCTTAACCATTGAAGGGAAAATTTGATACACATCCTTAAACACTAGAACCAGTAATCAACACCTTCCCAAATTTAGGATTTTTAATATGGAGAATAAATCCACCCGGCATTATGTTGGTTTATATCAACATAACCTCATAAAAGGTAAACAAAGGGCCCAAACACCCTAAAGTAAGGAGGTAAAGACTGGCTATTAATGCACCTGAGAATGCCTCATAAGTCAACATGGTGGAGGAACTTCAACACTAACTCGGTCTCATATGAGGCTCTCTAAGCTCTTCAACAGGTACACCATAGACGAATAATGAGCATCTGATATTTAAACTGTATTTAAACATCAATCTTTCAAGGTACGATCCTCATTATCTTAGGGTTGGACACCACGGCCCACCATTCCAAAAGTTGACGGGCTGTTATCAATCCTTCTCGTGTTTACATCTCCGTAGTCTATTACCTTATATTCCATGCATCCATCCCAGTCCTTGCCTTCCCCAGTCTAGATCTTCTTACCTTCACTCTTACCCATTGATACTTCATTTCCATTATTGTCCCGAATTATATGGACAACGTATCGCCATATTCTCATTGTGAAAAGTCCCAGTAGACCTCTATTCTTACCGTCCGTTTAGCCTATCATAATACGTCTTCATTCGTTTCTCTTATCAGTATATCCATAACATTATTCTGTATCATCACTGTTCGGAAGCCTCTAACCTCCTGGCCTGCCGAAGGTCCTCTCGACATACTGTACCTGGTAAAGGCGAGTACAAGTATCTACAGGGTACGAATAATCATGGAATTTTCACGACCATTTATACGTGAGTGACGGGATGACTCAACGACGCAGATATTGGACACTTTATATTGTTTACTTAACAATTGCGAGTTTTGCAACGAAATATTTTTTATTTTGTTTGGCTATTGCAACAACCGGGACAGTTCCGATACGTTAACCACTAGCTTCAGGAGACAGTGTAGTAAAGAGTGGAAGTATACTGTATACCATTGGTCATCAGCCATCACATATTTTAAGTACAGGAAGGAGGAACAAGACTGCCGCATACACATGAACTACTATCAAATGGCGGAGGGGTTTTCAGTACAAGCTAAAAACCCATTAATAGTTCAATATATGGAGTGAAAAATGAACACGTTAATATAGAGGCAAGATCATACCAGTGATGAACACAACCTTGTACTCTCGTTTGAATACATTCCCCAGATAGCGAGAGAATTTCCAGCCTGTCCATATACTGTATGTACTCACCAGGTAACTTCATTTGACAACTTCTTCATCGCTCCTCTCATCACCTGGGTTACTGGGAACTTCTGCCTTGTGCGTTCCTCTAATGGTGAGAGTTTGGGTCTACTCGTGGATACATTTTTCTTAGTATTTTGCTTATTATTTTATATACCTTTTGTATTATATATGTGTGTTTATATGAGTACATTATCTAATATATGTGCATAGATCTTTATTTAGGGTTGCATGTTATTATTATTATTTAGACCTAGTTATACATTTAGACAGTTTGGTTACATGCAAGGACGCCTGTCAATACGTCGCTCCCAGGGCGTGAAAGGGTCGACGCACCTGACTATGTACATCGGAATTACCGTGTCCGTTTAGAGAAAGTCCAGCAGGGAGATGGGTCGGGGTGTGGGGGTGGGGGGATGGGGGAGAGGGGGTGTCTAACCGGATTGTCTCTCTCCCTCTGCTCCAACTTCTTTCCTTGCCTCCTCCTCCCCTTCTCTTTCTTCTTACTTTGCCCTCCTACCTCCCGCACCTTTCTCTTCATTTCTTTCCGCTCACTTTGCTCATTCCTGTCTCTCCTCCCCTCCCACCTCCTTCCTTTCCACCTATCTATTCCACCCCTTCCGCCAGTCATTCTTATACCACCAACCCCACCACAAACGCCCCCGTACATCGATTTCTTCAGTAATGGACTAATAGTGAACTTCACCCTTGCCACTTCTACACTGTACGTGAATATATGGATCAAGATTCATATACTCGAGCAGTTATATGACTCACTCCTCATATATGGCCCGTTTCAATTACACATTTTTTCCCGTTTAAGTGGACAATGGATGACTCACGACTCGGCATAAATACTGTATATGGTTATATGATTGTAGAGTCTATCAACTGTGCGTAATGATTGGACACGTTGCTCCCATCTACTCCTGTGATCAGTAGAGTAATGACTGACTGAGCTAAGGCAGGAGAGCACCCGGGAACTAAGAGGTGCGGTCGAGGTCATCTTCTTCCTGGCATTACAACTTGAGGCATAATGGTTAGCAATATATAATGATGTGACATGATGTGACAAATGATGTAACATGACGTGACAAATGATGTGACGTATCTAGTTATTTTTATATACTAAATTACACATTATGAAAATTAGTTATTAACAACAGTAGAAAATCCTGCAGGATATACCTGGTGTAGGTAACGCCAGAGAGAGAGAGAGAGAGAGAGAGAGAGAGAGAGAGAGAGAGATGGCATTACTGACCGAAGGATATGGACGACTTGAGATAAATAACATTTTTGTACTATTGGTTAAGATTTTTACCCAAACAAACAACGCTGGACACGTGCGAGTCGGACACCCCAAAAAACTTGCCCGGTCAGGTATGAACGAAACTTCTCCCTTCACACGCGTCTCACTCGTCTTTATACTCTTCCATATTTTAACGCCTTTAACCCAATGACTCTTATTAGCCGATACAAAGGAGTTCGACCGAAACTTTCCGAGAATTTAGCGAGACAACTAGAGCTACGAGCACAGTGAAAGTGAAAGGAACATCGATTACGTATAATTGTGGAATCTAATTCTTTTCCGCATTAGTTTTAACAGGAATCAAGGAATAGGAAGATAGAACAGCGGTAAAGAAGGTTGAATCAGGGAGGAAGGGAGGGAGGGAGCGGACCAGAGTGGAGTCTCCAGTAGCACCTGGCAGTACAAAAGAGAGACGGGGAGATACTATACACCAGTGACTTTATCATCGTGTCCCAGCAGCAGACCAGGACACGAGGGGCACTTGTGTCCCGTGTAGCCTCCCAGGCTTAACTTTCTCGTCTGTAGCCTTGTAGACTTGTCGCGTGATATGAAGGATTAAACGAACTTGCACAGAAGAGGCTGTTGGGAGTTGGAACACAAAAACGTCTAAGTCATCCGTTTCGAACAGACGTCCTTGACGAGCATAAATATTCTAAGTGTTTATCGAGAATCAAACAAGAAGAAACCAAGAGAAAGTTGCTCCGTCTCTCAGGGCTTAAACAAACATATTTCGTAACTGACTGATCCTCCTTGGGAAAGTTACGGCGAGGTGGGGAAAGCAAACTCCATGACGAGAGACATATCAGGTGACCAAGACAGCAGAGAGCTTCCCGGGTGTTAAGTTCAATATCCTTCTTCAGCACGACCTGGGTCACCCTGAGCACTCACGACCTAACAACAATAAAAAAAAGAGGGTGAAGGACCATACTGTCGACCTCACAGAACAAGGTCAACGACTAAGGTCAGCCAGTGGGAGGAGTGCTGTGGTGCGTCAAGTGATAGTGATGGTGGTGCTGGCGTGTGAGTGAGGGGAGGTGGCAACACTGAGCAGTGAGCCCAGGTTATGTGAGGAGTGTTGAGCGGCCACTCCACCAGCCACTCGCCCTCCAGCAGCCATCGTCCACTCACCCACCCCTAGTGAGCTCCAGTACATCGTTAGTGCTGTTTCATCTACAGTGTGTGTCGGTTTTATTTGTAAATGATCATGGACAAATCATCCGTGAAAAATAAATAATATTAAAGTGAAAGTTGAAAAAAAAAAACGAAAGTAATTCAGCGCATTATATAAATAGCTGACAGTCACTGCTGCTTTGAGAACAAAACATAAGCAGATTAAGGCAAAGAACTGAAGCCAGAACGAAAAAAAAATAAAGAAGCTTTTCATCATCACCTTCACCACCTCAACAGCGGATGACGACCTCAGTAACGCTCTGACCCCCGACTCGATAACTACTCCTTCAGTGAGCACCTTCAGGAAAATAAAGTGGGCAATTATCTACTGAAGGAGAGGCTAAGAGGAGGAGGAGGAAGACAGGGTGTACACGACCCACCTACAGGATGAAGGTAAGCTGTTTAGACTTGGTTCTAGATTTACACATCCTGGTCCTGCGACAATAACACAGCCAACTTTACACGCGCCCTTACTCCGCTACGCTCTCTGTGACGCGGGGTAACTAAGTGTTCCTTCACTCATAATATAACAGTACTTCTCTACCTGTAACAGACGATCAGCTTTCCAAGGTGATCAATTTATCACGTGGGTTTAGTTCCTTAACTTGGGTCGGTGAATCAACATGGTGAATCAACATGGTGAATCAACATAGTGAATCAACATAGTGAATCAACATGGTCAATCAACATAGTGAATCAACATGGTCAATCAACATGAACAACCCCAATAAATCCACATACTTAGTTTACTGATGAGGTTAATAATCGGCTGAACCATTTAATCACCGAGTACCGTGTTGAGTCCGTCCTTACTGCCGAGGGTCGAGGCCTCCTGAAGGTGAGGTACACCACGTCCTTCCGGCAGTACTGACGAGGGCCCCCACCCCCTCTCTCACTCCACGTGCAGGGTTTGTCTCTCTCGTGATCTCCTCTCCTCCATCTTGTCAAGCGTAGGTTAAGTGAGGTTAGGTTAGGTTAGGTTAAGTGAGGTTAAGTTAGGTGAGATTAGGCTAAGTGAGATTAGGCTAAGTGAGATTAGGTTAAGTGAGATTAGGTTAAGTGAGATTAGGCTAAGTGAGGTTAGGCTAAGTGAGATTAGGTTAAGTGAGATTAGGTCAGGTGATGTCGGTAGTCTGGCCAGTGGTTGGTGTTCTGTGTCAGCCAACCACCTGTTGAATAGGCTTTTACTGCAATTTCAGCATACATGTGTCATCAAGAACATACATACACACGCACATAATCAAGAACACTCACACACACACACAATCACATAAACAACCACACACACACACAAAGAACAACAGGTTAGGTTAGTTTAGGCTTTCTGTTTTCCTTTCTGTTCATGACGTCCATGTTGTCGAGAGATCTTCTCCCGGGGATTATTATGGGTAGAAAAAGTTGTTTTGGCCATAGTGTCCCTGTGTGTGTGTGTGTGTGTGTGTGTGTACGTGTGTGTGTGTGTGTACGTGTGTACGTGTGTGTGTACGTGTGTTGGGATGTACACAAAGGCCGACGATACATAGATATAAATCTACGGAGGAAAATAATGAACACCTTACGAGATGGCTGAAGCGTTGACAATAGGAATGCTTGCGTTTAGAAAGAGACGCGTTGGCGAGAGCTGAAGGTTAGGTTAGATGAAAACTAATCTTATCGCTACAAAACCTTCCTTCCATCACATTACAATAGAAAAAAAAACCGAACATTGGTAATAACTCAATTAATTTCGGATCACCTAATGAAGCACCATCCCAGCTTTATTTCACCTAAAGATTAACCACCGTAACGCTAAGCTTAAGCCACCCTAACCTAACCTCATCCCCCCCATATAGTATTAGGGTGGTTAATCTTCAGGTGAAATAAGCTGGGGGTGTGTGGACATGCTTCAGGTGATCCCACAATTCTTCCCGTATGACTAATTTCCACTAATCATTATCACTTCTTAGATGTCATTTAGATCTTCGTTACAGCAGCGGATCTCTTACGGTAAAATAGTCTTAGCGAACATTCTATTAGTGATAACAGGTAATCCGAGTTGGAACAGGTTAGTGTGGGAACCTGAGAAAAGCTAATGGGGAGGGTGGGGAGGCATGGTGTGGGGGAGGTGCAGGAGAAGACATGGTGTGGGGGAGGGTGAGAGAAGACAGGGTGTGGGGGAGGGTGGGGGAAGACAGGGTGTGGGGAGGGTGGGGGAAGACATGGTGTGGGGAGGGTGCAGGAAGACAAGGTGTGGGGAAGACGGGGTGTGGGGGAGGGGGTGGGGGAAGACAGGGGGTGGGGGTGGGGAGAGACGGGGTGTGGGGGGGGGGGGGGGGGGCGGGGTGTGGGGGAGGGTGGGGGAGAGACAGGGGTGTGGGGGAGGGTGGGGGAAGACAGGGTGGGGAGGTGGGGGAGAGACAGGGGTGTGGGAGGTGCAGGGAGACATGGTGTGGGGAGGGTGCGGGAAGACATGGTGTGGGGAAGACAGGGTGTGGGGGAGGGTGGGGAGGAGGAAGGAATGCCGGGAAGAGATTTTGATGGTGTTGATGATGGAGGTGGTCGTAGTGATGGAGGAGAGAGGAGGAAGAGGTGGTGATGGAGGGAGGGAAGAGGTGTAGGTTGGAGTGGGGAGGAGGGAGGGATGGAGGTGGGGGGAGGAGGAGAGGTGATGGAGGTGGGGGGGAGGAGGAAGAGGTGGAGGTGGAGGAGAGAGGGAGGAGGAGGTGGTGATGGAGGTAGAGAGGAGGAAGAGGTGGTGATGGAGGTGGGGGAGGAGGAAGAGGTGTGATGGGGTAGAGGGAAGAGGTGGTGATGGAGGTGAGGAGGTGGAGGAGAGGTGAAGGGTGGTGGAGGAGGTGGGGGAGGAGGTGGTGATGGAGGTAGAGGGGAGGAGGTGGTGATGGAGGTAGAGGGGAGGAGGCGGACGACGACGAAGTGGATGAGAAAGTGGTGGTGAAGAAGAAGGAGGAGAAGGAGAGAGGCGATGATGAGGAAGAAGAGGGAGGAGGAGAAACAGGAGAAAGAAGAAAAAGTGGATTAAGAGACGAACAAGGAAGTGAAGGAAATGTGTGTTGGGTACGCCAGGGGAAAGGTGGAGTGGGTATTGGGTGCTGCCATGTTAGGTCAGCTGGACAAGATGTAGGTCAGGTCTGGTCTGGTCATGAAGCACTTATTACTGCTTTTTTTTCCAGGTGATAAATTATAGCTTTTGTTGGTACGTTCACTCTTACCAATTATTCAGTAATGATGATGATGATACGTTCACTTTTGTACAATTATTCAGTGAAGATGATGAGTTAAGGAAGTATTGTGATGTACGTGAGTGTTGAGTGAAGCTCGTAACACTTGTAAACTCTGCAGCCTTTTGAGAGTCCCTTCTCCCCCCCCCCCACCACCCTTATCAATTACAACAGAAAACATGAAGTGAAAAATAGCTGTGATAATTATTAACATTGACGAACAACTGACAAATGATAGTTTAAGATGTGTAAATATTAAGAAAACATCTAAACGTTTTATCAGTTTCATGACTCCTGTAACTAACCTGGACGGCTCCTCAGGTTCTTACTGTCAACAGGTGGAGATGGTGAGGTACTGTCGCTCTGGCCTGAACTTCACACGAAAAGAGCCGTCATTTAGAGCTGTCATAACATTCACTCGGAAAAAAAATCCCCGAGTTCACAAAAATGTTCTCAAATAATATTAGTTCCAAGTCTCCTGAGATGATCGCTTCTTTAGCTAGAGGCTGTGGCACCCAGTAAAACGGCTTTTTGTTTTGATTTACAGAGATAGGATCTGGCCGGGCCTTAAGCTTCTGAGTTGGCCGCATTTTTCATAGCAAATTTCTTTTATGGCGACTCCACTTGTGATAAACTGGACACACTTGAGTCTCATTTAGTAAAGTGTTTGAGGCCCGGCACTAGTCTTTGAACACCCTCAGGCAAGTGGCAGATAGTTAAAACCAGGCAAGATCTGTTGTATATTGACTGGGATGAATTTGTCACGAAGAGAGAAAGACCACCCAAGCCAGCATGAGATACACCGAGATCAATATCCTGTGGTCCTTCTGTCCACAGCGGCGACCTGCATATTATAATGTATAAGGCAGACATACATCTATATCTTCTACCACTTCTATATTTACTGCTACACCTAAGACTGTGGGAGTGTGTAGCCTAACTGACCAACTTGAATTAGGGCTCATTATTTATAGCAGTTATTCACCGACATATTCCATCATCCAACAAGAACCTTATAAAGGACCAGGATACATATCTACGATTTCCTATTTAAAAAGGGCAGTAATTCGGCCTCAAAACAGACATACAGGAGGTGTCAATGTAAACACCTCAGCCTCCTAGCAACTAACTGGGACAAAAATTTGTCTCCTTGTTCAGGTCACAATTAGATTATGCTTAAACTCTTAAAAGTATATAAAGGAAAAAATAAAAAAAGGACATATTCATACATCAATATCATAAACTCACTCCCCAACAATGGACGTGGAAGTATGTCACTGATATACCTGTTGAGATGTTGATGAGCAACACCTGTGACGCCAAGACACCAATGAGCCACCAGGTGATGCGAGGTAATCTTGTTATGCTTTATTAATCAACTATCACTGTGGCATTACAACTCTCTCAACCCGTAACTAGCATCATGACTCAGCTCTTCCAGGTCACGATACCGAACGAGACAATAATATTAAGACGGAAATATTTATCACCCGTCATTGAACTTTCTCCACCCCCTTTCTCTTTCCATCTCTTGTGACGTTTATTCATTTGTAAACTTGTGTACGAGTGAATATGAACATGTGTACGAGTGAACATAAGCTTGTGTACGCATGAATCTATACACGGGTGTAAGTATACAATGCTTGCTTGGGTGTGTGAAAGTGACCAGCACGCAACTTGCATCCGTTACACCACATCCCATTAGCCCCAGCGGTGACCACGGTGTTGTACACAATTAACGCCTCGCTCGCCACCTTCCCTTCCCACTTCTTCATTCCTTCCCAGTTAAGTTTTTGTCATGCTACCCAACACGAAGTTCACCTCCCCGTGTGCTGGGCTGGACGCAGCAAGGGAAAGGCAAAATAAGTGACCGGGGCCGTTCCATGCAGCCCCCACACCTTTCCTCTCACACACCTAAAGAACCACATATCCGGGTCGCCTTTATATCCGGGTCGCCTTTATTTCCGGGCCACGTCAGGATCCAGACCTCAATAAGTCAGATACCTCCACCAAATCTAGGCCATGAAAGGAACACTGGCCATGTTGGAAGTAGCCTACAGATGTGAATAACCTACTGTTACCACACATGGCCTTCGACCCTACGCAAGTAATGGAAAGGCATCGACAACATACAAGGACTTAAGGATAGGCCACAAGACAACCCCGAGAGCCAAT